TACCGCTTGAGCCACATCCCCAGCCCCCCTGAGTTTTGTTTTGATCAACACCAAGGCTAGACTGAGGTTGCTTTTAGATTTACCATTCACCTTCCACTTCCATGTTCTTCCACCCATTTACTAACCAGGACCCTGCTTAGCTTCTGGGATCAGATGAGAGTCCATGTTCAGGGTGGTATGGCAGGAGACCTAACTCTATGTTCTCAATTTTAAGATTTCAGGGTTGGAGGACATCTTAGTGGTGATCTAATCTGCTATCTTTTGTTACTGATTCAAGGAGGGCCAGACTTCCAGGTCTCTTAACTCTCTTTCAGTGTTGTCTTCATCCTCTGATGTTAGTATGTCTGATTTGCTGTCCCTCTTAGTGGAATACAGGGAGGGGGGAAAGCAGTAATAGTTGCCTCAGTTGTTGACTCATGAACAGTCCTTCAAACCCCCAAGCCCCATATTGCTTTTCTGCCAATATTTTGCATTGCATTATTTCAGAATACAGAGCAATCGATCCCTTTTGACTATTTTACCTCTTTTTTTTTTTTTGGGTGGGTGGGTGGGGGGTGTTACCAGGGATTGAACTCAGGGGCAATTGACTACTGAGCCACACCCCCAGCCCTTTTTTGTATTTTATTTAGAGACAGGGTCTCACTGAGTTGCTTGGTGCCTCACTTTTGCTGAAGTTGGCTTTGAACTCACAAGCCTCCTGCCTCAGCCTCCCCAGCCGCTGGGATTACAGGCGTGCACCACCGCACACAGCTTGGCTATTTTACTTCTTGTTAGGAGACTTTTCCCCATAGCTCCTGGCCCTTGAGTGTGATCAGATACGGGATACTAGGCAGACTCTCCTCCCTACTTCTGTGTTGTATGGCCGCCCTGTCCTGGACACACCCACCTTTCACAATTGAGCTCCAGGGATTCTCCTGTTCCAGAAGCTCTCTTAGATACCCAAACTCTGGCCCGGTGGCTTGTCCTCTGCCTTGGGACACCTCAGCAGCCCACATAGAGGAAGTGAGTCATGACCAGGCAGGCCTCCCTTGGGGCACTGTGGGTGTGGCATACCAGCCTGTGGTGGGGGTTGGGTTGGAAGGGTAGTGATCCTAATCGCCTCCAGTCAAGGCAGGGTAGTGTAGCATCCTCCCAATCCTGGCTGAGGCCACGTTTCCCCTCCTCCCTTGACTTTCTCCTTTGTCTCCCAGGGGAGGGGTATATCTTCTTATCTTTATTTCTCAGGCTTTCATTATCCAACTTCTGCCCTAAAACTTCCTCTCCCCACTGCTCACTTTTCATACACACACACAAGTACTCTGTATGAATTTACATATTTATAAATATTTATGTAATTTACATATATACAGTTATATAAATAATTTGCACATATAAACACACACACACACACTCACACACACACACATATATATATATAATTTTGTTTTGAGTGGTGGGGATGGAACCATGGCCTTACACATGCTAGGCAAGTGCTCTACCACTGAGCTACAACCCCAGCCCCGCTCCACTGTTATCTTAGGAAAAATAAATAAATAAAAATTAACCAGGACAGTTAAATTTTAAAAGCCTGAGGAAGGCTTTTAAAAGTCTGGTGGTGAACATGGGAAAGCATGGAACCTAGGAAAATCCTCTGAGAAAAGGGGGGAGACAAGTAGCCCAGGGGCCTGGGGGGTTAGACAGTGGAACCCTGTGGATCACCTAGTGTGGGCCTGTGGCGCTTAAGTACTCTAGGGACTGCACTGGAGAAAGAGAACCGAGGAATTGGAAGGCTCAGGAAGGAGAGTAACAAGTGGGAAGAAAGATACTGTTGAAGATGTCCTAGAAAGAGAGGAGTTCAGACCAGGGGCATAGGAAAGACAGGACCAGAGCTTGCTGGGAACTGGGAAAAATCAGGCCGGCAGTGGCTGGAAAAGCCCGCAGGGTCCCGCTGGGGACCTATCCGGTGTCCCCTTTTCTTGCCTGGTAGCCTGGGCAGGTGGTCTCACTTCGAGGGGCAAGTGGAAGGTGGGAAGTCGGCCTGCGCCTGCAGCTCTGGGCGCATCCCCCCCAGCACCCCCTCAGGCTGCAGGCGCGCCGGTGAGACGGGCCCCGGTGAGCCGAGGTTCCACCGGGCTGTTCAAGGGGTGTTTCCACGTGGGATCAGACACGCGTGGACGTGGCGCACGACATTTCACAAGCCAGCTGGAGGGTGTCTCTCCGCCCTCTCCCGGAGTAGGGCGTGCGTGCGAGGAAGGGGTGCTGCCACCCAGGCAGCGCCACCGCGCGGGGTGCAGTGCGCGCCTCTTACTGGGGGCAGTTCGGGGACTGCTGCCCGGGCGCACCCGAGAGGC